TAGACCCCTCTCAAAATGCGATATCGCCGTCGTTAAAACAAGTCTCAAAAGCGCGATTACGTCCTAAATAACATATCTAGATAGCAAGCCTCAACTCGCAAAATTGAGGGAGCTACGACCAAAAATGTGGCTGGTCATAACAACCTGTCGCGCACTGTATAGACTCCATATTGACCAAATTGCTTGTCAGAGACTACATCTGTCCGGAGTGTTCATTTTACAATCCGCGCTCATTATTGTTTATTTATAGTCTTAAATAAGTTGAAAAGCATCATAAAATCATGAGTCGATACAAAATACCAAGTGATACAGAACCGAGTTGGTCATGGACATATAAATGTTAAATTAATCCCTAAAAACAAGTGTCACCTGTGTCTCCATCTCGTATGTTATAGTATGGAATATTGAGCAATAAATCCAATAAACGGAGAATACTAGAAGAAATTTTCGTAAGAGAATAAAGACGACGGAGCAACCGTCTTGCATGCGGCAGACCTGTACACGACCCCATCACGGCCGCCTCGGGTTTCTCATCAAGCATCCGTGGGAGCGAGACCAACACAGCGTCGTGCAGCGTCTGCAACATCGGTGGGGGGGGGCGAGATCATTACAACGCCGCGCTGCGTTTGCAAGGTCACCTGCTCCGCGAAGAATTTTACCGCGACGGAATGCTTAAAGACAAGGCATCGCAGCGTCAGGCCCAGCGCCTTCTTCACTACCGAGCACGGCGCGCTTTTTCGATATGCCCAAGCAGCGTGTGAAGGCGTACTGGCAGTTCATCGTGTTGGTTGCTGATGAGATACATGCTAACGTCCCGACAAGTGCACTAACAGTTGCTCATGCAAAATTTGGCTGGTGCCAGCGGTGCAATGCAAAGGTTGACGTGTGTAGAGATCGAAATGACGCCGGGCCTCACATAAAGCGCTTCCATCCTGAATACCTGAGAGCGTACACGCAAAGACAGGAGAGACAACAGAGTCAAACCGCTGCTAGACAACTGGTTAACATCTATGAGTCAGCCAACGTCGACGAAGGCATTGATGAACCAGCCACCGACGCCGATGAGAAGCGCTTCGTTGACTTGCTGGTTCAGTGGATCACGTCGGACTTACGCCCTCTTAGTATTGTCAATGATGCCGGTCTTATTGCAACCATCGAGTTTGCAAACAGCGTAAGCGGAAGGCTGCGAATTCCAGTTCGCCAAACTACGACGTCGCGATTCCAGATCAGAGCCGCAGAGTTTCGTTCTTCGCTTCGGATTCGGCTCAGTAACAAGGGTGAATGTCTATACTTTCCTGTTTCGTCCGACATTTGGACTTCGTTGTGTACAGAAAGCTTTATCAGTTTCACACTGCACTATGTGGATGAAGACTTCGGCATGCACAAATGGACGCTTGAGGTAACAAGTATCCCTGGTAAGCACGATGCCCCTGTTATTGCTGCTGCACTACTAACGTGCTTCGACAATTGGAATCTGGATCGAACGTTGTGTGCTCGGTTTCTTCGGGATGGAGCTCCATACATGAAGAGGGCATGTGACCAGATCGGCGTGACAAGTATGTCGTGCATCGCACATTCACTTCATCTCGTTGTTGGTGCTGCGCTCATTCCCAAGCCTAGCGATTTACCACTGACAACGACTGTGGACGATATCAATAACACAATCGGCATCAATTCCGATGCTTCTGGCAGCAGTGACAGTGATACTAGCACGCTGCGCGCAATTGCCTCACCCGCTTCGCTGGGAAGGGAAATGACAAGTGAGGACAACTCGGACGATGACGACAGCGACTTGGATGAGCCCATCGATCCGGACGAGGTAATTGCCATTTGTGAGCAAGTGGCAGAATTTGTTCAAGACTGTGAAATGGCTCCTGGCGATCTTGAGTGCGTACGCCAAATCGTTCGGCGATTTCGCAATCTCGCCGAATATTTCCGTCGGTCTTCTAAAGGATCCAATCGGCTTGAAGCGTTGCAAGGTGGCCGCAAGAATGCTGTGAAAGTAGAAATCGACAGCGCTACTCGATGGGACAGTACGATGCAGATGCTTTAACGCATGATGAGGTTGCGGCCAGCTATGGAGGACTTCTTCGAATATATCTGCAGTGTGGAAGGCAGTGCTGAATTTAATGACGTCTGCCAAAGTTTGAATCGTCCTACATCGGAGGAGTGTTCGTCATTTAGTGCCTGGTGCAGCTTCTGGGGCCGTTTAGTGCTGTTTCGGATCATCTTGCAGGAGAGACATACCCGACGCTAGTGTCTGTCCACATCTCGATTCGCTCGCTCAAAATATTGCTGAGCGCGCCGAGGATTTTTGATGATCTATATGCCCAAGTAAAACGAGAGCCATTTGCCGATGGATTTGTTGCTATGATGAAGTCTGTGCGCCGTTGCTTCGTGACTTTGCTCGAAAAACGATTCGAAATGGCTGACGGAGAAATGAAGTGGATTGCTTTGCTGGACCCTTACTTCACCAACTCGAGCCTTCTCTCTGATGCGGAAACTACGCGCGCCAAGAATCGGCTAATGCAGGAGATGGTTGATTTGGCAAGGGGCAGTAGCGATGAGATGAGAGGCGAACGTGAGACTAGCAGGATCGTTAGTACGACACCGACGCAATGTACAGCCTCTTTGAAGAGAGTGGTGTGCGGAAATCGATTGACTGTGCGACAGCCGGCTGCACTTGGTAGATCGGTGGAAGAGATGTGTGAGTGGGAGCTCAAGAACTACCTCCGGACATCTGCTGCTGCTCATATGGAGGAAGAAGGACTCCCGGCGTCCCTTGCTTGGTAGCGTGACAACGGAATGACTTTTCCTCGTATTGCTCCGTTGGCTTGCAAATGGCTTGGATGCATTGCGACATCGGTACCTTCGGAAAGAGCTTTCTCCACGGTTGGCAACACGATAACGAAGCGACGCGGCTCTCGTAGTGCGGAGAATGCGCGTGACATTCTCTTTGTGGCTGAGAATACGGGCTTGTGAACGTCCTTGAACTGCAGAACTCGTCAGATTTCTTTCTTCACGTATGGCGCCTCACTAAAGAAGCTTGCATGTTTTCCATTCGAAATGTATCTGTAGCAACAACGCAGCGTAACTCTGAAAATGGATTTAGTTTTTCCCTTACTTGTGTATTTGTCAACTTGCAGGCATCTCGAAGTCGCTCACTTAAGCTCTTCTTCGGGTTTTTCAGGTTCAGCATCAAGTACCACAAGACCTGGAACGCCACCGTCACCATGAAGTTCTTCCCGCGCTCGCAATATTTCACCTCCGCCACGACCATCTCACCGTTGTTGTGGCGCGACTTGCAATACCATCAGCGCGTAGCTGTTGGCCTCATTCTCGTCCACCGCCATCTTGGCCAAAATCGTGCGCTCCATGCTTTCGAAAAAGTTATACTCCAGGTTCCGGCGCTCTTCACCAAGTGTACATGTAGTGACCACCACCCACGAATACCACGACCATGAAGATATACCGTAAATGATCCATGTCTTTGCCGACGGCACGTCGAGAGGTAGTACTCGACCATTTTTATGCCGAACTCCGTTAAGTAGTTCACATCATTGCAACAACTACACCAGCCCAGTGGCCGAATTCGATGGTTTCCGCGAACACCAGCGTCATCTGCGAGACCGAGACCGAACACGAAAGCACGTACGACGCGCGGTAGAAGTTGGCACCGCTCTGCTAGTAGGAGATGTCGCGCACCGCCATGAACGTTGGAATCTGCGAGATCTGGTCCAGCGACAGGAACAACACTGCCTGGAACAGCACGCCCAGCGGAACCAGCACGTTTACCGGGTCCACGTTCCAGAACATCGACGCGTTGATCAGACCCCTGACGATCACCATAGGACCGCGACCTTTGCGGAACGCCGTGTTGCGCTTGTTGGAACTTCGGCATCAGGTCGATGTCGTTGCCCACATTTTATCAGCTTCAGGTCGTACGGAGCCTCCAGAGCAGCAAGAATCTCGCAGGGATGCTCAAGCCACGGTAGTACTCCACGAACTCGCTCGCCAGGCGCGGGTGGTGCGTCATCTCCGATAACCCGTACTTGTACTTAAGTATGGTGGGTTCGTGCCCGGGTCCAAAAGGTAGTCGGCCATGTCGCGCTCAGGCGGACGCTTGAAGCCCAAGGACTCGAAGCGGACCATCGCCTACTTGCGTGGGCCGTGGCACATCATCTCGCCCTCGTTCAGGATGGTCACCTCGTCGAACACCTCGACCACCTTAGGCGCCAGATGAAGCAGCGCGACCACCACGGTCTTCTGCATCTTATTGGTGACGCCGCGCTACGTCTTGTTGATGTCGTACGATGTTAAACTGTCCAGACCCGTGCTTGTGCGTCACGTATTCGAAGTACTTCATGCCGATTTCCATCTCGCCGGTGGTCACACACTTGTACTCGCTGCTCGTACTCCAGGATCTCCTTCACCATTAGCGTAGGAGAGAGCTTGTAGCGCTGCTCCACGTAAGCAACCAGCTGCGGCAGGCACGCATGATGTTGGCCTGTTGGTCTGCCCCACACCACATCGCCCGCGACCGTCAGGACCTTCTCCAACACAAAGCGGCCGCTGAGCGCCTTCATGAGCGACGTCTTGCTAAAGCCGGGCTGGTCCAACACTAGCGCGATGGAGCCCGGTTTGACCACGCCGCTAACGTAGCGCAGGATCTCCTTACCGCAACGAGCTTCGTGGCCGACAGCTTGGCCTGATTCGTCTTGGCAACATTGTCGGCAGCACCACCTTGTTCTCGTCTTCCTCCGTCGCCACCACGTCGGCGTAGATAGATGGACTGCTGAAGCGCGCTTCTAAGAACGTGGCGTGGACAAAGCTCTGCGTCGCCAGAAATATGCTGCGATAAAACCAGTTTGTGGCTGAAGCACCAGAATTTACTTTTCAAAACGCTACGGTGTAATACGATAAAACTACAAACATAGCCCCGTATTATGGCGTAGTTAATCCAACTAACTTAGCTCAGATAACGTTATTTGCTAGTTAACGATATAACGATAACGTCGCCACCATCTCCGGCGTATCATATGTACTGTCCTCTTCACCTGGAGGAATATTTTCGCCCACCTTTCAATTCAGAGGGTGCGTCTTTATGTGGACACCAGAGTCCTTTTAGATGATAAGAGATCCATTTTGTTCATTACTCACACCTTCCAGCCTTTCCGATAGATGAATTTGAAGGCTATCCAATCCTATCTAGACAAATTAGCATGTAGGTTTTATTGTACGTTTCACAAATTTTACACCCTCTCTTCGTCGTACTAATCGTTTCTACTATTTTTGGCAGTTGTTGTGAAGAAAGCGAGCATCTCGTCCTCCACAAGGATATTTCGTCTTCATCTCGACGCCACCTCGCAAAATGATCACCATGCTGCCACAGATTTGCAATGCCAAGGTAGCGGTCAAGGTTGGGGAGCCGCAAACACATTGTCGGATAACTCACTCTTCGCTCGAGGTGACATTTACGGTTGCTCAGGAATACACTGTGCTTCGCGAACGACTCAAGAGACAAGTTGTTAACGAATCTTGCATCACATGGGATGCTGAAAGCAGGCTCTACGTTAAAGCAACGGTCAATGCGCGCCAGCGTGACTACAAACACGTTCCTGAAGAAAATGAAGCATTCTACCAGTTCTTTTCGTCTAATTGGTCGAATCCAAAGCGTCAAGACCACCGCTTCTATATGTTTTTATGTGCAATAGAGTCAAGAAAACCAATGCAATCAATCGAGCTGCAGCGGCCGCTCTACACGAAGCATCTCAGAGCACTTGCAAAATACAGACGGTTCGCCACTGGGGCCAGCATCACTAGACTACTGGGCTACTGTACAGCCCGACAGTCTGACGACGCATCTGTGGTTCAGCTAGATAGCGAGACATACCGACAACTTCGCTACGCTGACATACAAGCGCAGTGACACCAACATGAAATTGCTACAGCTACTAATGTTGCGACTCAAGATACGCGTTGCATACACGTGCACGTACGTCTTAATGGTGTATTGATGCTCATTGGCCTGGACATTCAGGAGGTGCGTCGAGCATTTGGTCTACCAGCGTATGGCCTTTGTCCTCCGTTTCGAGAGCCTGTCATCCCGCCACTGCCGAGCCTCATGATCTTGCTGATGTCGACCGCGCAGAGAGCGATGATGGACGAAATGCTGAAGAACAGATAGGCGAGGGACAAGATGGAGAACAACAAGAACAAAACAAGAACTCTTTCTTGAGCAGGCTGCTATTTAGTTTGCTTATATCCGTTCTTCGACGAATACATGTTCAACTAAGCCTGCTGCTTATCCACACTTACGCTATAGTTTTTTTACCCGTGGAATCATTTGCCCAAGCGCAGTTCCGAAGTGTCACATCCATAACTTCTTCTAGATTTACCCGAATAGCAACATTTGCGTGGTTAATGATCCACCTCTTTAGTAAAGAAAATGAAAACTCAATTGGGATCACTGTGGGCAATTAGGTGGAAGAAAGAAAAGAAGAGCACCAGTTGAGTGCACCAGCTCTTCCAACTCGCAATACATATGTTTCCTAGTATTGTCAAGAATGACAATACTTCGAGGCAACGGCCACGGATCTAAAAGCGGTGCAATACTCTCTCAAAAAGCTTGGTAAAATTATGTTCGTGAAAATGTTCCCCTAGTCATCTTCCATGCGAAAACCCGGTAGTATCCATAGCTGCGAGCACTGAAACGCGCTCCCCTCTGGCATACGGAAGATTTACCACAGCTGGCAGCCTTCCTGGTGGTCATGCATGACGGCACATGCAGTCTCGTCCAGCCTTAGCAGTCTCATCAATGAATATGAGCTATTCTGGACCCGAGTAGACCAGCAATAACTTATTGTAGTGCACGGCTATCTCTGCTGGAGCCGCCTCTCGGGCTCTTTTAATCAGAATCTTGCGAGTAAGCTGCATGTCAAACCGGAGGGCTCGACAGATTGTTGTCTCCGATGTATTGCGAAGTGTCGGAAAGCGAGCCTTGTGCGCGCTGCGTAATTCATCGATATAGAAGCATGGGTGGGATTCAGCACACTTGCCAACGAAAGTACATACACCGCGTGGCCACCTAGACAGCTTCTGCTTTTTCCCGGTACCTTCGACAGTCCCTCGATTAAAAAACCACCCATACCATCTTTGTATAGATCGTTTTGATACACCCAGAACGCTAGCCACAACTCCTACTTCGACGTCGTAAACGTGCACTAAGATGACTGCACACCAACGGAGGTCGCTCGACTTGGTCATGGCAGTTCAGCGCTAGAACCGAGAATTCCAGAACCGAAACGAAAGTGCTGAACTATCTGCCAGAACGAATGGCACACACGCCGAGTTCCATTCGTTCTGAAATCTTTCAACTCGTTATCGAATTAGTCCATCGTGTTAGTCGTTCACAGATAACTCGTTGTGGACAATTCAACAATTCGTCATGAAAAGTCTAGGCTGCGCCAAAATGCTAGAAACGTTCAATACATTACAAAATACAAAATCTGATTTCTTTGTGGTAAGTAAATAGTCTCAAGAGAGTGATTATTGACACCGAAAAGCCGTGCCATCCAAGAAAGTTCTAGGAACGTTGCCAACCCTATCCTCTTTGCGTACGGTTAAATTGGTATATAGGTATACAAGATTTCTCTCACCACTCATTTGCAACGCAGGAGAAGCTATGGATCGCCCACGTCGTGCTTGTACGTCGCGGAAGCGGTCCTCGCAGGACCTAGCGGACGACGACAGCAGTCGCAGTGACTCCACTCCGACACTAGCTGGGACGTCGACTCGACAGACACTAGTGTCTCCAGCGCGAGCGTCGACGACTCAAGCCCTAGCGACACGTCAGTGAGCAGAACGAGTAGTGATCACAGCGCAGGGGGAAGCTATTCCGTGACCTGCCCCGACCTTTCGAAGACAGAGTTCGAGTCGTGGGATGATTTTCACGCGTATCTGGGCCTGAATGAGAAGGAAACGTTCCAGGTAAACAACGCACACACTATTCGTATGTATTCTCTGTATAAAAGACGGCTTATGTATGTCCTACATGTTCTTCGAACGCGCTCAACGAAAAGCGTGGCAGCAAATTGACACTGCCAAGAAATCTTCATCGGAGATCATACCACCGGACTGGGGGACCTACGCCAAGACGATCATTTGTACCCATGGAGGCAAGCACGGGTACCGCGGCAAAGGGAAGAGACCTCGACCAGAAGCACGGCCTATGGGATGCATGACACAGGTATGTATCTAGCTGGTCGTTGACGTGACATGCGCCCCACTGTGGTCGGTGGCAGTTATGGATGCAGTCGGAGGTGCATTCGGTTGCAGTCGGTGTTGAAGGGTTACAGACAGACATATATGTGTGCTTTCTAACACCCTGTTATTCTATTCAGATTAACGTGTGTGTGCAATTGGTAAGTGAGTCGCCTTCCAAGTTTGCGGTGTGTGTGACGAAGACTGCCCTCACGCACAACCACAAGTTGGGTCTACGATCCTACAAACACTACCCGGCTAATCGCATGTCAGTGAATGGCGAAGTGCCGGAAACAGTTGACTCGCTGCGGAAAGCTGGTGCCAAGATGAAGAGTATTCTGAAGTTCATTGTTGAGAACTCAGACAGCAACCCCACTCCACAAGACGTGCAAAACCTGATTCGCAACCTGAAAAAGCGTGAGCAAGGCGGGATGACGCACTCATATCGTATAAAAAAGTGGATGTTGGCCTTTTGCGCGGTTCCTGGCAACTTGGGTCGTGTATTTGTGGACTCGTCCAACGAAAAGGTTTGAACTATATTAGAATCCAACATTAGTTGTTTTTATTTGGAGTATTATGCTAAAAGCTATGTTCTTTGCTTATAGAGAATCGCAACTTGCATTACGCTCCAAACGAAGCACATGGTGGCTATATTCAACAGATTCCCAGAGGTGTTGATGGTTGATGCCACGCACGGCACAAATTACTCCAAGTATACGATTTCTTCGTTTATGGCGCACGACGTTTTCGGGACAATACGTTCAACACGCTGTCATTCAGAACGAGCGCGGTGAAATCATGTTATCAGCTATCGATGAATTCAATAGAAACAACCCCTCATGGACCAAGTTGGAGTGCATTATAATTGACGACTGAGCACGTATGCTCGCTCATTCACGAGCAGTACGTGTACGCAATCGGTCCAGCGTTATACAGTTTTTATGAACCAACTCCTGGAGTCATTTCGATTAAAAACGATGCAGAAAATGAGGACAGTCTGAATGAACCGCGCGTACAGTGCACAATCAACAGTTCGACCTGGGAGTGCTCTTGCTTATTCATGACTACAAGACTGCTACCATGCCGGCACATTTTTTTATGTTCGATGGCAGCTCAAGATGGAGACTATCATTCCTACCCAATTGCTGCACCCACGATGGCTGTTGTCTTCTTTGAAAGACACAAACTCACAGATTATTGTGGCTCAAAATTTAAGTACTGTGACCTCTATTATACCACCACCAAGGTCTTCATGGGACGTCAACCGGGAATTTCGAGAGGCAAATTGCCTTGTCACCGCTATCTGCGAATCTGTGAGCTCGTTGGGAATGAACGAGTATCGAATTGCCATGAAAGCATTGAATCAAGTCTGTGGTTTTTCGAGAAAAGAAGTTTGAGATTTTTGAGGAACTTTCGTCTACGCTACCAGCTACGCAGTCGAAGAGGGATGAACTCCACGAAGAGGGGGTGACACAGTGCTCGACAGAATCCTGCAACACCGCAGCCACGATCGTGATGACAGTAGACCCTCCGTCAGCGGAACTGTCGGTGGAGACGGTAGACCAGTCGGTGGAGCAGTCGGTGGACAGTCGGTGGAGAATGTGGAGCAGTCGGTGGTGTCGGGAGAAAAATCTGTGGAGAAGTCTGTGGATTCTGTGGAGCAGTGTCTAGCACCACCCAATGAGCAGCTCGACACTGAACCAATAGATTCTACAGCGCCTGGCTTTGAAATCGCTAGCCCCATACGAGCACGTGGTCGTCCGAAACAGAAGCCAAAGACAAAGAAAGCAAAAAAGAACACGGCAATAAGGATGGCGAAGGCGGACTCTATTCTCCACGACAAACAACTGAGCTTACAATCAATTACAGATCTCGTGTGGCATGAGGCAAGATACGCCAAAAAAGCTTGCTGAGTGAGTGAGTTTCTTTTTTCTTTTTGTGTTCGAGGATGAGGTGCTTCTTGCTCTTGTTCTTGTTCTGGTTCCTCTGCCTACATCCCTTTTGGTGCCCCCACATCTCCCGTATTTTTTCCGAAAGACTTGATACAACGAGCCAACAAGAAGATGATGACCTTGCAAAACAAGAACAGGTCATTTGCCAAACGCGACGTCGGCGTCGAATTTCCTGGACTTGGTGACATTAGCGGGCAGTCGCTGATGTCGATGAGGCGATGGCATCAAGCAGTTGACGCACTCAACCTCATCGACAAAGCCAAGAAATGGATCGATGAACTGGATTTCTCGGTGGCTGTTCCACCTGCTTATCGGGTGGAGAGAACTGAGGACATGTCGTCAAAGCTGGACACCATTCCAAGTTTCTCCGAAGAGGTAAGAGCACATATTGTAGTATTAATAGTAAGCTGTAGACATGAGGTTGCAACTAATACTATCTATGTTTGTTGATCAGATTCATATTCTAGATTTCGTTGCCAGAAATCAGCTGAGTGACACCGCCTTGATGGAAGCAATGTCCAAACTATTTGGTCCCCGACAAGACGTTATCGTAGTTGACCCATTAATATGGGGTGTCGTGAAGAGGGCCAATCGCTGTGCCGACTGAACAGCTGAGAAGCTTATTCACCGGAGTCTTTGACCAAAAAATGCTGTTTCCTGTAAATTGCAGTGGCACACACTGGTGTGCACTCATGGTGAATTTTGAAAGGAAGGAAGTCAAGTTTTGTGATTCAATGCTGTCTAGCTACACTACGTCTCTTCGAGCACTGGTACATCAATTAATGCCGCATCTTCCACCATTGGAGGGGCGCTACAGTGTGGACGGATACGTTTCTGAGATGGGAATGCAACTCGACAACTACAACTGCAGAGTCTACGTCCTACTCGCGTTCGAAATGTATTGTGGCGCGGAAATTGTCGGAGAATTGAGGAAGACACTGCAATACCTGCGCTACCGCTATATGCAGATGTGTTTGTGATTCTAATGGGTCAATATATTCCTTTATCTTCTCAATCCACGTTGTTGCCCTAGTGCTAGATGTCTTTCACCACTGCTAAGGAACCGTCGAATAGAGCATCCCATGGTTTTACTGATGTATGTCAGCAGAATTCACTAAGTGTTGGCATCCGGATTTTACAATGTATACGCACCATCCAAAGATAACCGATGTCTGGCTCTTTTCTTCGGTCGGGCACAGTCGGTCAGATTCGGTGGTTGTTCGGGCGTAATTGCCCCGTCTGTGCGATTACCAGTCGGTGTCAATAACGCATGCCATCCTCTCAAACAGGAAAAATCATGCAAAGAATAGGGAGTTTTTGCAAGTCTGCCCCGTACCCATTCCCATGCAAACTCTTGAAATTGCCCAATAGCATAGTAGAGGTTTCAATCTGTGGGGATAGATCAGCTCCCCATAGATCTGGTGGATATACGGGAAACAAGCCATTCTCCCATAGATTTGACGACTTGCCTAGATTTGCCCCTGCAAAACATTATACATATGTGTGGGAATACGAATGGGAAAGCTGCGAAAACTCTCAAATAGCCATTGTTTTGTGTTAAGCATTTATTCTGTGAGATACGGTATTCACTGAAATTAATTTGACTAAGGCAGAGCTGGTCCGATTGGCGTTTCATTTTCTGTGCCGGGGTGTTTACATGTGTAACGAGTTGGTAACTCCACTCGCAGAGTTTGGTTCGCCCAGTAGACCTTTGTAGAAGTTAATCATATGGCCGGCAGAGACGGTGTAAAATCCGATAAGACCCCCGTGCACTCGTAAATAGGTGCGTCAAATACGTTTTGATGCTCCTGATCCGACTTGTTGCCGTCACTGCTCATATGGTGCATCTTTGAGACGTCATGCTATCCACTCAATCGCGCGGCGACGACACCCAATCGCATCTGCAACTAGAGACGACACTCGCTCTCTTATTAAAGAGAATGTGCACTTAGCGTGAACGTGCAGACAAGAGAAAACGTCAAATCCGAAGTGCGGTGGCTTCAGTATAAACTGTAGAAATGCGCTCCATGCATGTGAGGTTCTACATGTAACTCCTTGCTATCAATTATGAAGCAGCTTATATATTATTTGCTGCCCCAGTAAGCGCAAGGCTTGCTCTGCGTCTGGATTGTATATTCTGTTTTGTGAATGGACAAAAAATGGGCAGCTTACCTTTTACCACTAGCGCTGGAGGCGCCCGCTACGCGGGCGAATAGCCCTTCCATAAATTGCTTATATTTTCAAAACAACACATATCATTTCTGACCCTGGTTTGGCTCAAATTTAAACACATTTACTGGCTCCCTTACTTACCTACCCACTCGTCTTTTCACTCACTCACTTACTCTTTAACTCACTTACCTTCTCACCTACACACTGCTCCACTCACTCACTCACTCACTCACTCACTTACTTTCTTACTCACTCACTCACTTAATTTCTTACTCAACACACACGCACACTTCAGCCAAAGTTTGTATTTACGTTCCTCTAGCCTACTCAAAAATCTCTCGGTACACAATGTTCCTTGTGTACACCATCCCGCCCTCGTCTATCTGCTCCGGATCGATGGCGATCTTGATCGCCTTCTTGGAAGTAACTCGAGACAGCGCCACGTACAGCTGACCGTGCGCGAACACCGGGGTTTCCAGATAAATTCCAACGTGATGAATCGACTGTCCTTGCGCCTTGTTGATCGTCATAGCAAACGCCGGTACAACAGGAAACTGCTTCCGTCGTAGGGTAAAACGAAACTCTTTGTCGTCGTCGTCGCTGAAGAAAATGATACGCGGGATGAACACCCTTCGTCCCCGCCGCGGCCCAGACATGATAGTAGCATCGATGCACTTCTCGCGCAATGTAACGACACGTAAACACGTCCCGTTGCACAAACCTTCATCTCTGTTCAAGTTCCGGATCATGATAATCGGCGTGCCCACTTTAAGCACCTTCTTGTGAGGAGGTATCCTTGAAAAGTTAAGCGAGTTCAAAAACTCAGGCTCAAACAGATCTCCATTCCCGGGCCCATCGAGGCTGTCGTTTAACAGATATGTGCGTGTCTCCCCAGAAAGGCGCTTAGCTACCATTTCATTAATCCAACGGACACTTGCATTTGTAGGGGCCAAAATAGCTCGATCCACAAAGTATTGGCTCATCTTCATTATCTTCATTCCGCGCTGCCGCCCGGGCAGCCGTGTTGCGACGTTGAATTTCTTGCTGCTGTTCTTGACTCAATTCACTGCGAGCAGTAGCTCGAGCGCTAGTATCTTGAGCCCGCACAGACTGGAGCACCTCTTGACTGCTCTCACTTCGTGCCACAGCGCGTGCTACGGTATTATGTTCACTTTCAGTTCGACGTTCCTCTGTAGACATTTCGCTCCGCCGATTTTGGTGGTATTGGCGATCAAGCTCCCGAGCCTATGCATCTTGGCGTCTTTTTGCAGCCTTTTGCAACCGATCCCTCTCCCGTGCTGCAGCACGTTGTGGTTCAGTCATTTCAGCTCTTCTTCTAGTTCGCGGTGGGCGTTATATTGGAAAAATTGACACCCACAGAAAAAGTGTTTATAGCGGGATTTGAACCAGTGATCGGTTGATTGGAGGCCGAAGCGCCTACCGGCTGAACCGACACAATCGCTGACCAAACTCCTCCCGTTATGTTATCGCTAGCATCGAATACTCCATTTTCAACCCCCGATCTATCTTCACTCTGCGTCGCATTAACACTCTCATTCTGTTGCTTTCGTAGTCTATACAGAGCTACACGCCGGTTGTTCCTTCTGCGCTTTCGGTTTGCTTCTGTTTCTTCATCTGGCGATCGAAATGCATCTTCAATCTCCTCAGCGGTGTTGTATTATCACGCGCCATAGTTCCAACTGAAAATCCACGAAAGCGGTAATCGTTTAGAGAACGTCCGAGATGCGAATAAAATGTCTTGGAGGGCTAACAGAGTGAAAGCTAGTCCCCAAATGGAAAGAATCGTCCTTTGCCATCTTTATCACCTTAACGTTTATTCTTTTGTTATCAGAGTTGTAATACTCTTGCAAACATCCTCGCATTTTAGGAGCCTCTTTTAAGAGCTTCTTTTAGTAAATGTCCAGTACGTAACCCCCGCACGCACGGTACGAACCGACAAA